GATTTGTCTGACAGCAGACTTCTAAAAATAGAACCAAATATATGGGATAAGCTAGGATTCAATCAGGAATATTTGCAGACACACTGCAGACCCAACTGAAGCTGCAGAAATGCTTGAAAGCGTGTCTTGGTTGAATGATGAGACTCAGTTATGACTGAACGGTCGAAGTGTATCAAGCTCCTTGCAGAGCAGATGTTATTTGAATTTATTCAGATCATGACATATTCCGCACTCTAACCATCCCCACCCACACTCCCAACAAGAGCTCGATTCTCCTTATCTTCTGTGCAATTCAAGCCTGTAAGGCAGTTGTTGAAAAATGTTAAGGAAGTGAGTGAATGTCTATACTTTGCTTCTTAAAAGCTTTTTGCATGGACTATTTTAAAAATTTACTTTTATAAGGTAAGTATATTAATACATTTATATGAATTGACATTTAGACTATAAATTTGAGGAAAATAATTTCAAGTGCACTCTTGTAGGTGTTAGGAGCTCTGGTGGCATAGTGGGGAAGGTATCTGGTTGCTAACCAGATGGCTAGTGGTTCAGACTTACCAGCTGCTCCGTGGGAGGAAGATGAGGCAATCTACTTCCGCAAATATTTACAGCCTTGGAAACCCAAAGGGGGTAGCTATGAGTTGGAATCTATTCTTTGGCAGTGGGTTTGGTTTTTGGGTTTGATCTTGTAGGTGTTGGAGCAGAGTAGAGAGACAGGAATGAAGGGGAGCAATGGAAATGGTTTTCAATGCAAGACAGTCATTTCGACATGATGGTAAGGCACCAAGTTCTAATTATAGCAACTATAGTTTGGGGTGGGATTGTAGACATGGTGCCATTATGTCAGTGTTAATTGAAACCATGAGAACACAGCTCTCTTTGGCATAGGAACTATTAATTTTCATGGTGCATGTAACCACTTGCGCATTTTTGAAAGACCACAACAGACTTCACCCTTCCAGGCAAAACCGCTGCTAGAAGCAGGTAAATAAAGAAATATATCATGAACCATGACAAATAAAGATAGAATAAGTAATACAAAGATGTGTATGTAGCACCAGGGTATCCCAGAGGCATCTGTTACTAATTAAGTGGACTTTTCCGAAGTATGAATTATAAAACTCAATGGTGTGAACTGAAATCACTGATGTTTGGACCCAGAAAAACTTGAAGCAAGGCAAGTATACTTCAACTAAGAAGTGCCTTTCTCTCATAGTATGTTAAGTTTGCTGATGTTAATGGCCTTTAAAAAAGGCTTTATGATAATGAAATCACTGTTTAACTTACAACAGCAACCTTTTTGTTGCAAAAGTAGACTGGGAAAGCAGGGAATGCCACTCAAAGAGAAAGTGGGAACATCTCTGACTTAAGTCTGCAATCAGTAGCCTCCAAACCAGAATGTTTTTCATATGTGACTTTAAAGGCCTCTTCTGTGGATGAAGTGGGTGAGATAGTTCTCCTCAAGAAGGAAATCCACTCCCCACTCTGATGAAAGGCCTTTTTGCAGACCCAAGGTAATTTATTCTATTGGGCACTGAAAGAAGTGACGCTCATTTCTTGGGTTGTTCTAGTTCCATCTGCAAACTGCATTTGGGTTAGGCTTGGCAGGCGTGGGAACCCATATGATAAAAGCACTGCATGGGTACCCAAGTTGGTAGAGAATCCTATTGATTTAATAAGTCATGCACAGATTTTTCCAACATGTTCAATTTGAGATCTTTTTCTGATAGCCAGATCAGTTACTCTTTTCCCAATGCCACTGTACCTTAACTTAAAAGCTCTGTTTTACTGGAAGTCATATGCCAAAAAATAACATAATGAGTATTTCTCCTCAAGCATTCCAGTGTCCCTTGCATGCTTCTACACAGAATCATTTCAGATGACAGATTTTTACATAATTTGTGTTTCAGCACATTCAGAAACTGAGTTGATACCTATGTGTCTCATTATTATGTAATTTAGAAAATATAACCCAGCTAGTTGAAGGAGTTAATTTCAAGTCAGTCATAAAGTCTACAACAAGTTCAGTACTGAAGCAAAAACATTATTTTAGAAAGTTTCCAATTACAAACTCAACTCTTAAGTAGTCATAAAACATTTTCAACTACATTGGCAACTAATGTTTTCTCTACATAAATTAAGCCATGAACTTGTATTCACTGTATTCCCATATAGGTATGCAAACATCTCTCAGGCAGTTCCACAAACCTAATGAATACAGAAGTGAGAGAAATTCTAAAAAGCTTTCAGGGTATATTTAGAAAGTAACTTTCTCAAAGAACTTAGTAAAGAAAAAAATCATTTAAGAAACATTAGAAATTGCGACTTAAAGTGACATACTCTTTATTGCATAGGTAGGAGTGTTTGAATCTTAAGTATCAAATCTTATTGATTTCCCACGTTAGAACTCAAAGGAAAAGGGTGGCTTAATGGAAATAATCCATTTTTTCCAACACTTACAAAGGGCTTTCTAGTCATTGCCTTTTTCTTACGTATAAGCGTGGACACACTTGCACACATGCATGTGTGCACACACACACATTCAAACCATGCAACAGAGCATTCTGCTTATTCAGCCTCTGAGAAAGAGAAGGCATTGTGGAAAGAGGGCCAATGTGTCAGGGG